GCGATGATTTACCTCACGGGTGAGGTCTCTGATTCAAGTCCAGGACCTCATTGATAAGTGCTACAAAATCTCGTGCATTGGAACCCATGTTATGGATCCGAATCCATTAGTATGGAATAGTTGAACAAAAATAAATACATTTACCACGTGCATTTTATAAAGGACATAGGCTCTTCCTTGTCTTTGAAAAAATTACCCCATCTTCAAGAAAACTATATATGACAAATTGGAATTGGCTTGCACGAATATATTACATCTGTAAACAAAACCGAGGAGTCATATCCAGTATTGTTTATGCGACGTAACAAACAAACCCTCTGATATACATAGAAAACCATCGTACAGCTATTGCACTAACAGAAAGCTATTAGTTTAGAAATGGTGGCTAAAACTGAGTAATCAGAATCAGATTTCAGTACAATCAATATGCAGATATTAAAGATGTTCCTTTTTTTGAATTCAAATTTTGGAGAAGTAAAGGAAATCACTCATTAAGCATGATATATGAACAGTATCTTACACAAGCAACTTATGTACCAAATTTTTCATAGTCATTCCTCTAGGAAATAACTTTTCGGCAAGCGAAAATCTTCCTCCTGATTTAGGATCTCCTCGTCTTCGTCATCAGGTTTCTATAATCCCACACAAAGATGAGCAATAATTAACTTAGTCAAATATTAAAATTCTAAATTACGAAGCTTGTAGTATCAGTATGTACTGCTTCGACAACTCTTGGAGTCAAATAGACAAACGAACATGCATTTTCATAATCAAACTAAGTGAAGCGTGCGTGCTTTTCCATGGTCTCACCCATTGTAGTGGAACTCGACGTGGAGAAACAAAGCAGAGCAAATAATGGTAGTAAAACTATTTCTTTAGTTACTACATAGTATGCAGAGGTCAAGTAAACATGTTTTCATCATGGTGAACTGCATGTTTGTTTGAATCAGGTAGGTTTTCTGAAGTTGCAAACATAAAAAACAAAGCTCCTATTTTTCAATGGGGCATAGAATGCCTACTCTTGTTCCATCCTTCTATTGTTTTCTTTAAAATGGATGGTTGGCTTTGTCCCCATAGATCGAGCACACAATTTGTCATATATTCTATTGTTCCAAAAAATAGAGCAATGCAGGATAAAGGAATTAACTATATTGATATTTTGTCTATTCAAAACTAGAATATTGAGTTCTGAACATGAGATAGTGTTTAATCTTTATTGTTTTTTACAAGAAGATAAGAATTCAACTTATGTTAAGGTGAAACTTTTGAATGTGATGACATTATAAGTAATCATCTAATTTTGAAACAATTATTAGATGCAACAAATATGTTTTATTACTAAAAAACAATTACAAAAACTTGAACACAACAGAAATAATCTCTAAAACCTCAATCCAAACACATCCATTGTTTATTAAGATAAAATATAAATCTAAAATGAGTTTTCGGACGTTCAACCGACTCAAAGTTTGATTAATTAGATAATCTATCGTCGAGTGAAACTCAGTGCAACTTGATAATCGAGAATAATGCAATGTAAAAAATTGGAGGCCATACACATACCAGCATTTCCAAGTTGTAGAAGCGATCCAACAACTTCAAAACATCATCTGCAGTAAATGACCGATTGAAACTGCAACAACAATTTGTGTAAATGTACAATAAGCTAAAATTCAAAACATAAAAAGAGGATACTCAGAAGCAGAACTTTAAACTGATAAATATACAATTACTGTAGGATAGAAATGAAAGGGAAAAATAACCTTCTGCACATATATTCTGTTAAACCATAAAGCACAAAGTGCCTATGTATGCCTGCAATGACAGAGTTTAAAGTCAATAACATCAATCAATAAAACAGACTCACTCCTGAGGAATTTTGATTGATCGCTCGAGTGCAGCGGCTTCACAAAACTAAAAATTTGAACTTATTACCCTAAATGAACCTTTTGTTTTTACATTAGATTCTTGCTGATGAGTTTTGACCTTAAAAATAATCATCTCTAGTCTAACAGCGCGACCCCAAAAAAAAAAAAAAGGAAAGAAATTCAGAAAATATCTTAACCACAGAAGTTTTTGAACTTTTATCATTATCATTAAGCTATTTAAGCAACAACTGAAAGAAAAATACAAATTTAAGAGATTTTTAGGCATGCATGCATGTAGATAGATGTTTATGTGTGTATGGAAGATAAAAACATAAAGAAATTAACTAATTAATTAGCAAAAATTACCTCGTAATTTGGCGGGAGGATAGATTTCGAGAGCTTCCAATAGTTTCAGCTCCAATTCCACCTCTGATTTCTCCTGAAACAAAATTCAATCGAAGAATAAGAAAACGAATTTAACATAAAAATAATCAAAATTCATTATTAACAAACACGTATTATTAAATTCATCCCTATACCTCTTTTTCCGATTTAGCATTTGTCATTTGCCCCATATGATTAGATTAATTATTTTCTCTGATTTTGATTTTACGTGAATTTATTATAAATTTATACGAGGGTAGTTAAGAATTGAATTAATTTCTTTGTGATCGAATTAGAGATGGCTAGGGATTTCAACAGCCTTTTAATCAGAAAAAAACCCCTAAAAGTGAATCTTGTCATGGGCTGGGCAACAGTGTATTATGGATCGAACAAGAAGAGTATTGGATCAATCAACTTTTTCACGAGCCCAATATCATATCCACTAACTAATTTAATTGGAAAAAAAAAAAAAAAAACTGTAGTGTATGTTCGGTACTAGATAACCATAATAAATTAAGCCCCTGTTTGTCATCCA